ACACACACACACACACACACACACACAAAAAAAAATTGAGGTATAAGATTTCACTTGCCACAGAAACCCTACACATAAAATTATACCTGGTGGAAGCAAATGCAATTTAATTATCTTCCTGGCTAATTGAATACAACAAAGGGAATTTTTTGGAATAACTAATATAATTTGTCATCCTGACAACTACAAACTAGATACCTATCCTTACCCTAAAAGACCCGAAGCAGTCTATTTATTTTACAAACATGTCACAAAACTTTAATTTACTTGCTCATTGGAACAATGAGTTCTAAACCTGGGTTAATAATACTGAAAAGTATAAACAACTCCTTTTGGTTAAACAAGAGATGATTTGTGTTCATTTCTTTATACTAACATAATCATAGCATTTATTTCACCCAGTTGTAAGGCAATTTGGCTTTCAGGATTAACATATTTAACAGTGATAATTACAGATGACGGGAGAAAAAACAGAAATGAAAATAAAGTGGAGTCTTAAAGGCTACAGATAATAGGTACCACATTACAGGTAACAGGTACCAACCAATATTGAATAAGTCAATGCTTACTGAATGTCTTATGAAGATAACTACTTCTAATCCATCAATTAGTCTTAGGATTTAATTTCTATCATGCGAGTGATGTCATAAGCAATTTCTAAAACTCAGGTGAGTAATTGTTTTTAATTGTAAAATTAAACAATACAGTTGTTTCTTGTTCATGGTAGTCATGTTCTATAAATTTGCTGTGACAACTGAACTAGCAAATACTGAACCATTGCTCCCAGGGGAAATACAGGATTATGTTCTTGTGAACCTATAGTGACAACATTTTCATCAACTGGACAATACATAATCCTAAGTGTGTTTATGTTTACAGACAACTTATTTAATACATATTGTTGATTCACTAACATTTAATCCCCAGTCAACAGCACTATAACCCATGCCTGTTGACACTTACCCAGCACAGTGTTTTTTCCATTAGGCATACCAAAACTCTCTTATGCTTAGGAACCCTTTAAACCACTTTAAACACTAAACGCTTGGGAGTCATTTTTGACATTTTTAAACAGCAGAATCACCAACAAAAAGCACACAAATGTAAAAATATGGCATTAAATAGATCGCAAAGGGGACAGTTGTTTAAGTGGAGCTGGATACAAGAAGGCAGAGTGCCTAGTTTGCTCTCAGCTGAGAACACATGGTATATGTGAGATCAAATTTAGGTAACTAAATTTTTGTCAGTCACAAAAGCTTTGATTCTCGGGTTGCAAATAATTAGAGCAAATAGGTAAATCTGCAAATATGAAATTTGCAAATAATGAGGAGCAACTGTACATTTCTTTAAAACTTCAGTATGAATGTAAATGATAAACTGCATGATATACACAAAGTAACCTGAAGTCAATTTTAAAACATCAAATGAAACTTAAAAGCTGGAAGTTTAATTTTTGTAGCAATGTTCTTACCATAAATATTTCTTTGGAACATTGGGTGAGGATTGTACTAAACGTAGAAGACAGACCTAATTCAACCAAACTCTCCAAGTGTGTCATTTTCTCAGTTTCTGTCTCTTCTCTTGTTTGCTCCAATGTGCTACTTTCTATAAGTCCAAAGCATCTAAATAATCCAAACAAAGCATAATTTCAGCAACTAAAATCTGGTTTGACATTTTTGGTGGTGATTAGGTAACTCTCTATTGTCCTAACTATTCAAGTGATAGCTACTTAATTTCTACGTGGTTCACAAATCGATTATCCTTTTATAACTTCAGGAGCACCAGTAGTAGCTAAAGGTTATAATGCAGAAATAAACTACAGTTTCTGGGATAGAAGAGTCATTTTCTAGAATGTCAGCTAAACGTTGGTGTGGGTTACAAGCTCACCTGTCCATAAATTGTAAGACGAAGTCCTCAAATTCAGCTGTGGCTGAACAAAGTTCTCGTTCCACCTATAATATCCCAATGCAAAGAAAGATGACATATAGCCTTAGTTTTTTTTCCCTGAACTAACAAAACTCAATTATTGCCTGCCAAATATATCTACACTAAACCATTATATTGGGTACTATGAGAAACAGCACCATACTTGCCTATCAATTTAGAACGACTTGATCTACTACTTTCTAGGAACCAAAGAAAGCAGCAATTAATGTTATTTTACAAGGGCCAAATACAGAAGTCAAGCAGCTATCTTTATTATAAATTCAGTTTTCAAAACTGCTGATATATGTAAAGTCTAGTCTCTCACTACCTGAATGTCCAAAAAAAACAAACAACAACATGCTTTCGGCTAGGTGCAGTGGCTGGCCAGACACTGTGGCTCATGCCTACAATCCTAGCACTTTGGGAGGCCAAGGCGAGCGGATCACTTGAGGTCAAGAGTTCAAGACCAGTCTAGCCAACATGGCAAAACCCCATTGCTACTAAAAATACACACACACAAAATTAGCCAGGCACGGTGGCACACGCCTGTAATCTCAGCTACCAGGGAGGCTAAGGCACAAAAACCATTTGAAACCGGGAGGCAGCGGCTGCAGTCAGCCAAGATGGCACTACTGCACTCCAGCCTGGGCGACATGCTTGCATTAAAGAAGATAGTTCTGGGGGCTGGGTACAGTGGCTCACATTTGCGCACTCAGCATTTTGGGAGGCCGAGGCGGGTAGATTAGTTGAGGCCAGGAGTTCGAGACCAGTCTGGCCAACATGGCGAAACCCCGTCTCTACTAAAAATACGAAAAATTAGCCAGGCCTGGTGGTGCGCACCTGTAGTCCTAGCTACTCGGGAGGCTGAGGCAGGAGAATCACTTGAACCAGGAGGTGGAGGTTGCAGTGAGCCGATACCACACCACCACACTCCAGCCTGGGTGACAGAGCAAGACTCCATCTCAAAAAAAAAAAAAAAAAAAGAGAGAAGTTCTGAAAAAGCCAGACAGAAATGAAGAAAATCTTTCTTCATTAGATGTCAATCCCTTGGACAGATTTATTACTAACCTAAGATGATGGAAAAATAAAATAATCACCATTTTTTGCTTAACAAAACATTGAAAAGTGACATAAAACTGAAATACACCTCCAGATGTCAGAAGTTTATAGAAACGGCCTATTTTTGAGCCACCTCCTATGATGGGTGCTCTGTAGACTCTCTTGCCAAAGATGTCCTGGCCCTCCATATGTACCATTCTAGTCACAAAATAGTAATTTCACTTCCCAAGTTGTTTCTAAACTGTCAAGTGTTACTATGCATATGCAATAATAATTAGAACATCTTCGCCCTTTTATAACCATAAAATACCCTTACTTCTGTGAGGTCATTTCTTTCTTGTAGTACAGATGAACAATCTACTAAAGGCACCAGAGTAGAAAATGTTGCTATGAACTGGAATGTGATCTGTGGAAAGATACAAAGGATTTTCAACATTACATAATTCTAATTCAGAAATACAAGTATACCATGAACTACAATAAATTACCCCAATAAATTATCTTGATCAAAATCCCACAACAGTTTCTCTGGGTATTCCTCATTTAGAATTAAACACTTTAAGAATCTTCATAATTAACTAGCTGTCGGCCGAGCGCAGTGGCTCACACCTGTAATCCCAGCACTTTGGAAGGCCGATGTGGGCGGATCACTTGAGGTCAGGAGTTCCAAACCAGCCTGGCCAACATGGTGAAACCCTGTCTCTACTAAAAATACAAAAACTAGCCAGACGTGGTGGCGTGTGCCTGTAATCCCAGCTACATAGGAGGCTGAGGCAGGAAAATCGCTAGAATCCAGAAGGCAGATCGCAGTGCAGTGAGCCGAGATCATGTCACTGCACTCCAGTCAGGGTGACAGAGCAAGACTCCATCTCTACATAAATAAATAAATAACTGTTACTTTAATAATGAAGTTATACAACATTTAATTTCATATTTATATTAGGCTTACGCATAAAGTTCTCCAACCTTTTGTCACTGAGAAGTTACTTTGCCTCCTACCTAAATATAGAGTGTATAATCATCAATATACTCACCATGCATTTACTAAAGTCATTTGGATCCACCCCAGGCAATGCTCTCATCAACAGAGGTAGCATATGTGTAGGACCTTCAGGAAACCATCTGCCTCCTGATACCAAACTGCGGGCTACTCCAATTACACAACTTAAAGTGGCTGTGAGTTGGTGAGGTTCTGTTAATGTCTCTAATGCAGGATACGTTCTACAGTTTGAAAACAGAATTTTTAAAGTCTCCATCACAGATATGCATAACACCATAATACATTAAATATTGTAAATTCATAAACTGTACTTTGACTTAAAGGTTTATAAGTCAGCAAAATACTTAAGAGTGAAAATCTGCTATCAAAGTTAACAGAATTACAGTAGCCCCGTTATCTGCAGTTTCCGTAGTTTCAGTTAACAAAGGTTAACCAAGTATTTCAGTGTCCTGAGAACGAGACCATATTCACATAACTTTTATTATATTGAACAATGTATTTTTATAATTGTTCTATTTTATGATTGTTGTTCATCTCTTACTGGGCCTAATTTATAAATTAAACTATCACAGGTATGCATGTATGTGAAAAAAACATGGTATACATAGGGTTCAGTACTATCCATGGTTTCAGGTATGCACTGGGGGTCTTCAAACACATCCCTCACCAATAAGGGGAGACATTACTGTACACAAATAAAGGAAAGATACACAGATTATTTATTGCACATGTCCCCAATCCCCTGCTACCTTACCAACTCTTTTCATGCCAATTCCACAGTGAGAAAAGAACACACACTGGTAGAAGTCAGGGTGTGGTGGCTCACACCTGTAACACTAGCACTTTGGGAGGCCAAGGCAGGCAGATCACCTGAGGTCAGGAGTTTGAGACCAGCCTGGCCAACATGGTGAAACCCTGTCTCTATATGAATACAAAAATTAGTGGGGTGTGGTGGCGCATGCCTGTAATCCAAGCTACTGCGGCGGCTGAGGCAGGACAATCGCTTGAACCTGGGAGGTGGAGGTTGCAGTGAGCCAAGATGATGCCATTGCACTCCAGCCTGGGTGACAGAGCAAGACTGTCTCAAAAAAACCCAAAAGAACATCAACTGGTAGATACTGCTTTATTTCAGCTGTCCTAATCTATATTATACTAATCTAATGGTCAGTCAGTGGAATAACAAGTTACAAATACTCCACAGTTTCTTTCCCCTGACCACCCCCAACCCTGGAGTCAGGGTCTTACTCTGCCCCAGGCTGGAGTGCAGTGGTGTGATCATAGCTCACTGCAGCCTCCACATCACCCAGATCAGGTAACCCTCCCACTTTGGCTTCTCAAGTAGCTGGGACTACTGGCACACGTTACCACTCCCGGCTAATTTTTGTATTTTTTTTTTGTAGAGACAGGGTTCTGCCATGTTGCCCAGGCTGGTTTCAAATTCCTGAGTTCAAGCAATCCATCTTCCTCAGACTTCCAAAGTCCTGGGACTACAGGCGTGAGCCAGACTAGTCACTTATTATTATTTTTTTTAATGGAGAAAACATACCAAACTCTTTAACAGAAGCTTTCTTGGAGATGTAAAACTAAGCGTCTAAAATTTTTTTCCTACATTTTTAGTTTTTAAAAAAGTTTTGCTTTAATTAAAAATAAAATCTTTGGCCGGCCATGGTGGCTCACACCTGTAATCCCAGAATTTTGGGAGGCCAAGACAGGTGGACTGCTTGAGGTCAGGAGTTCAAGATCAGCCTGACCAACATGGTAAAATGCCATCTCTACTAAAAATACAAAAATTAGCTGGGCATGGTGGCAGGCACCTGTAAATCCCAGCTACTCGGGAGGCTGAGGCAGGAGAATCGCTTGAACCCGAGAGGTGGAGGTTGCAGTGAGCTGAGATCATGTCACTGCACTCCAGCCTGGGTGACAGAGCGAGAGTCTGTCTCAAAATAAATAAATAAAAGAATAAAAATTTAAAAAGGTCATGCCACTTCAAAACAGCACAAAATTACAATTGAAAGTCTCAAAAAATGTCATTGTATTGTCAATTTGGTTTATTATTTATCTTGGCCAAGCACTCAATATCACTTAATATGCTGATATTAAATTTGTCCAAAATTTTAGGACTAAAGAAAAATGTGATGGGTCTATTTATTTATAAGCTTTGTTCTTTCTACTAAGAATTTAGCTCACTATTCATAATTAATCAGCTGAAAATCACAAAACAAAGGGGAAGTAAAGAAACATTGAAAACTGCCAGGCGCGGTGGCTCACGCCTGTAATCCCAGCACTTTGGGAGGCCGATGCGGGCGGATCACAAGGTCAGGAGATTGAGACCATTCTGGTTAACACCGTGAAGCCCCCTCTCTACTAAAAATACAAAAAATCAGCCGGGTGTGGTGATGGGCGCCTGTAGTCCCAGCTCCTCAGGAGGCTGAGGCAGAAAAATGGCGTGAACCTGGGAGGCGGAGCTTGTAGTGAGCCGGGATAGCGCCACCGCACTCCATCCAGCCTGGGCAACAAAGCGAGACTTTGTCCCAAAAAAAGAGAGAAAGAAACATCAAAAACACTCCAAACTTCAAAATTTTAGCTAAGCAAACAGATGAAGTCCCACCTCTCCAGGGAGCATCAGGGAACCTGCCATTAACTGTTAGCTTCTGCTACTCTGTGGAGGCCAAGAAGCAAAGAATACGGGGATTGAAGACAGACAGGAAACTGCCTATCTTCCCCCACTCCATTTCCTAATTAAGTTCTATATGCTGGAAGAGTTTCAATGCCCCAAGATGTGTATGTAAAAATAAAGTAAGTTGGGAAAATGAAGTGCAGTCTAACTTGAATATTTATGGCAATGAGTGCAGGTAAGGCAGCATAAACAGCTGAAAATTATAGATAATGGAGGCCCATTTTGGTTAAGACCTTGAACATGCTACTCTTCCCCAAGTAAATATGACCAATACTTATTCTGTCTCAACAATAAGACAGGAAATAGGCTATAGTTTGAATTCTACCACTAGGGACCTTGGACAAATTTTTATGGAACTCAATGGCTAGATCCTTCTAGGTTCTAAAAACTAACATTCCTCCTCTATATTTGACAAAAACATTTAGAGAGAGATCATAAAGCTTAAGTTCAGCCAGTAGAGGAAGCAGAGGTACAACAGAAAGCTTAAGTAATTTACTCTTGAACAAATTACTTTAAAAATTGCACTCAAAAAATTAAGAGTAGGTCGGACGCAGTGGCTCACACCTGCAATCTCAGCACTTTGGGAGGCCAAAGAGAGTGGATCACCTGAGGTCAGGAGTTCCAGACCAGCCTGGCCAACATGGTGAAACCCTGTCTCTACTAAAAATACAAAAATTAGCTGGGTGTGGTGGCGGGCGCCTGTGATCCCAGCTACTCAGGAGGCTTAGGCAGGGGAATCCTTGAACCCGGAAGGCAGAGGCTGCAGTGAGCCAAGATTTGCACTCCAGCCTGGGGGACTAATGCAAAATTCCATCTCAAAAAAAAAAAAAAAGTAGCTGTCTCTCTCTTTGTAAGTACATCACGCCTATTCTGTGACAGTGGCTAGGTAAGTAAAGAGTTTTCCTTACCATTTCAACACACAAACCAAAATGAATAAAATAAAATTTACTCTGTAAAAACAACACACCTGATGTAATACATGAAAATAACAAATACAATTTTCTTCTCTATCACTGATTCTAAGAAAGAAATCCAAAAACCACTTTCACTACCATGTTCTCAATCCTTAGTGACAGTCAACATTTTGATCTAAAAAAAAAGGCCAGATCTTAATTCATAAGCACAAAATTTTGGTAACTAAAATGTGTGAATAACCCAAAAGACGTGTTACCCATTTCATTTCAATTTTTTTCTTTCCAATAAACCTTTATCAAGTTACCAATCATTACATTAAAATGTCCTGCTTCTCCTCTAAGAAGCCACAGAGGAGAAAAGAGAATCAAGCTGAACAGACCAAAAGAAAAACCTAGCTATGGCTCAGACTCCCACTCACCACTTACCTTTCAAGTACAGGGGGTATTACTAATTCAGGTCTCATGAGTGCAAGATTCTGCAAAGCCTGGGCTGCTTCTAGACTACCAGTTTTGCTAAACATAGCCAAGAGGACAGGCTGAATAATGCATTGTACAAAGTCTGTAACATCTTGATCAGTAAGCTTGTGGCTATCAGGCACAGGAGTTAACCAAGAGGGCTTCTTGTATCTTTCACGATGCAATCTTCTAACAATACTGTTTGGCAGCCGCTGAAGTAGTTTCATTAACTTGTTCTGGGGACACAGAAGCAAAAAGTTCTAAGTAGGGTCTACTTTCCCACATAGATATTCATGGTTGCTCTCTAGCTTCTTGAGAAAAGATTTTTAAAATAACAGTTCTTATTATCTTATTACAAAGAACTGCACAGCATAACTAGGCAGAATTAAAAGTTACCAATTAATTATTCCTAATTATTATTCCTTGTATTCCTATTTATTCCTATTATCATAAATTCCTATTATTCCTAATAATTAATGAAACTGAGTTTCAAATTCCAGTCTAAAAAAATTGCTAGCACATAAATTTTCCATTACATGAAAGCCATTTTAACTGGCCAACTTAAAAAAACAACAAAAACAGGTAACAAGATAAAACTGAAAAGATGGTTCCATGCTTCTAAGCCATTTTTGTTACTTTTTTTGCAAAACTGAGGCATGTTGTCAACAGTTACCACACCGATATTGTCTTATTTAATTTATATGCTCTACAACACAGTAATTTAATTTAAATGTAAGCATTTACATATAGCTAAGGCTATGAAGGACAGAAAATGTATTATAGGTCACACAATAGGCAATAGTCAAGGATGACCATATCTTTAAAATTCCAAGCCCTATAATGCAAAATGAAGTTACTCACCAGCCAGCGCCCATTATTTGAAGGATGGTAAAAAGATGTGATGCTGTTAAACAAACCAGCTAAGTGTTTTTGCACTAGCTTACTTGGTCCACCCTGTCCAGATAAAAAAGTAAAAATGTCAGTACCCATATCATACTGTAAAAACAGAGGTCAACAGGCCCAAGCCTATATGTAAATCACTAATGCAGTTTATAGTCAACTTGATGACAAAAATCAATTCTACCTTTAAATAAGAGTCAAAAACAATGCCCTGATGAACTTCATGCAAATCAACTCAAAATATTCTACTACAAATAAGGGCAGCTTACTTGAACCAACATAAAAAACTAAAAAAATACCTGTCAACTTGGAATAGCAAACTGTATTTTACTGTTCTGCAGCAAATAACCTGGATACTAAAATTTATCACTAAGATTACCATCTTAAAATTACCAAGAATGCTAACATCAGGCATAAAAAACCTGATGTAAGGCTGAGGCAGGCAGGTCACTTGAGGTCAGGAGTTCGAGACCAGCCTTGCCAGCACGGGGAAACCCTGTCTCTACTAAAAATACAAAAATTAGCCAGGCCTGGTGGCAGGTGCCTGTAGTCCCAAATACTTGGGAAGCTGTGGCAGGAGAATCGCTTGAACCCAGAAGGTAGAGGTTGCAGTGAGCCGAGATTGCCCCACTGCTCTCCAGCCTGGGCAATAGAGCAAGACTCTGTCTCAAAAAAAAAAAAAATAGGGCTTCCCTCTGTTGCCCAGGGTGCAGTGCAGTGGCACAAACACGGCTCACTGCAGCCCTCAATCTCCTAGGCTCAAGCGATCCTCCCACCTCAGCCTGCTGAGGAGCTAGTACCACAGGCACGTGGTATCATGCCCGTGCTTACTTTTACTTTACTTTTGTTTTTGTACAGGGTCTCGCCATGTTGTCCAGGCTGGTCTCAAACTCCTGGGCTCAAGCTATCCTCCCATCTTGGCTTCCCAAAGTGCTAGGTTACAGGCGTGAGCCATGGCACTTGGCCATATTTTCACACTTAACACAAAATGAAGCTGCCAGTGAGAACTGTGTGAGAAAGCAGAGCAAAACTCATTCAAACAATAACTAATACTAATCACGATCCAATTCTGTAGCCCCCAAAAATCCAGTGTCAACTCACTGCATATGTAAGATAGTAAATATCCTTCAGTGTTTGCTCCTACCAATTAAGAAAAATGGGATTTTTCTGTTTAACAATAAAATGGCAAAAACAAAGGGGGCTTAAATTTGTTTTTCTTACAATGAAATTTAAGAAGTAAACTTTTACATTTAAAAAATTGGTTTTTCCACAGAAACAAGCTAATGTGTAAAATGGAATACGAAGAAATAGTTGCAGAAGCAATATATGAATGATAAGCTAGAAAATTATAATAGAAAGTTATCCTAATATTATTTGAAAGATGACACTGAAATCTAAGCTTGTGGATATGTCTTCACTTTCCTTTAATGATGTCAACAAAATAATCCTTCACATCTCTCCCTTCACAAAGATTACTTTGTTAGTAAGCTTTATGTTCAATATAATGTTTCATGTGAACATTAGCAGTGAGTAAGTAATGGAGTCTAAGCACACGCAAATCCCGAGTTGTAATCCTACCTTGGGAAAGTCTTTTGGGTTACAAGTCTGGTTCCCGGACAGTAAAAATGTGAGACACTGCAAATCCCTCAAAACTCTAGATTTAGGACTCTATTTATAATGTCTATTGGTTAGGGAGATTTCAAAATGGTACCACTATATTCTGGATTTGATAAACATGAGCTTGCGACATCAGAAAATATCCAAGAATCACGTCACCAACCAAGCCACTGTTATCAATTTCTGTGACTATCCAGAGTTTTTGTAAGGTTAACACGAAATAGGGGTAAACTATAGAAAACAAATATAATGTATTACAAACCATCATGGCGGTGATCCATATTACAGCATGTCCAATATCATAAGCATTTGTTAAAAATCTTGGGACTAACACTTGACTGCTTCCCACTGGGAGGTTCAAGCTTCTCAGAATTCTTGTAAATATCTTTTAAAAGAAAAAACAATAATTAAGGATATTTGCAGGTATCAAAATAATTCTTTAGTAAGTGCTGTATATTAGTGTTACTGAAGATATTCTCATTTTATCACAAGGGTTTTTAAGTGAAATTACATAGTATTTGGTAACTTGCTTTACTCTTTAAAAATTACATATAAATATCAACAGATGTGCTGTATGACACTCTGAGGTCACAGGCACAAGGACATAAAGCAGTTGTGTCCATGTATCCAAAGAACAGACAAAATGTGATTATTTATGGCTAAATATAAAAAGGCAAAAACACACATACTGTGACTAAACATGAAATATTTTGACTCCTTTCTTGTCCCAAATGCACGAATAGTTTTTCCTAAGCTCCTATTCCATGTCAAGCATGCACAACAGCACCAACCTAAATGCAAGTATCTTCTAGCAGATTGCTTTCCCTTTCAAAATTTTAATGGTGATTTGATTTTTCCCTAAGAATTTGTATTTTAGTCAATCACTTAACAACTATATTATAATAAAATTAAATTTATATTCCAAATGTATCATTACCAATAGGTAGGGGCCCAAAGGTGGGGAGAAACGATTTCTCTTCCTCAATTAGTTTCTAATGGCCAAACAACAGAGGAAGACATCACAAGCAAAAGCAAACAGAGCATTTGCATTCAGCTGCTCCCCAGCTTTGCTCTAATGTAAGTGTGTGCATCAGAATCACCCAGCCCTACTGCAGCTCCACAGGTTATTCTACTGCAGGTGAAATAATACTGAAGATACACCTGGAATATCTACCTTTATTTACTATAGGAAAATATATAGTGTGACCTAAAAAGTGGGCAACACTGCAGAGCAGCAACCAAATACGATACACAAAATGCATTGGAAGGTACAAATGTACGATGCTCTTGATACTATACTTAGTACTTTCCAAATTACTTTTGATACTCATAGTTCATATCCTGCATAAGAAAACACATTTATGATACCTTCATGTGGTCTAATTACCTTTAGAAAAGGTCATTGGACCCAGCCCTGTAAATTATTTGTATATGTGTTTACTAATGATCAAAGAAAATTTTATGTGCCACTTGGAATTGGCATAGAAAAAACATTTCTCCTTTATAATATAGAATTGTTGTCGGCACTATTGTATTTATGTTCAAAATGTTCTTTTTTTTCCCCAGACAGAGTCTAGTTCTGTCACCCAGGCTGGAGTGCAGTAGTGCGATCTTGGCTCACTGCAACTTCAATCTCCTGGGTTCAAGCGATTCTCCTGCCTCAGCCTCCTGAGCAGCTGGGATTACAGGTGCCTACCATCATGACTGGCTTTCCCCCAAAATGTTAATTACCTTTGGTACATATGGATCCCAATCTATGTACCCTATATTATCTGTAGCCAATCGAGCAAAGAGATTTACTAGTTGCTGAAAGTAAACAAAAAGGACAAAGTTAATACATTTGTTGTTGTTGTTGTTTAAGTGTCATAGTCCCCCCCTCCTCCATTTGTTCTTTTCAGCAATCATTAGTGCAATCTACTTAAATAGTTTACGACTTAGTTTTTTTTTTAAAAAAACCTCCAAATGTAAATTGATTCACGTCACACATTTAAAATCAGCTGCAGTTAAAATGCTCCTAAAAAGTAAAATGACAAAGCACTATCCACAATGAATATAGAAAAGTTTAATCCAACAAATATGCTGAAAATATCCACTATACGTCCAGCACCATGATAGTACAGGCACCAAAGAAAACAAACAACAGGATCTTACATTTCATGCATTTTACAATACATGTGTATACTCCTAAATATTGATAAAACCAAAATAAATGTATACTTTTGTTAGAATACAACAAATAAAATAATATAAAATTGAGAAGGAACTGATCATAACAGGGCTAACAGCCAATCCTAAGGAACTTCAAGTTACTTACCAAATGATCTATTAATATTTATCTCCAAATTTAAAAAGTATGGGGGGGTGGGGAAAGAAAAGAAAAGAAAAACAAAACTATAGGGGAAAAAAGGTATACTTACCCCCTCCCACTGTGGGAGATTTTGCACCGAAACCCAAAGGCCAATTAATTCATCAAACCAAAGTCTAAAAAAGAAAAATGTTGTTATGAATAGCAAGTGACTTTAAAGTAGTTTAATGCCAGGTATCCTTTGTATTTTTTATAATCTATTATTGTTACTGATAACTACATAACTAGAAAAAAATAATACTGAAGTTATAAACTTAATAAAATAATGGAGTTTTTGTCTGAATATTCCTTTCATGATTTAAGAAATCTGATCTCACAAATTAAACTTCTGCTTCATTACTAAGTACTGTCCATTCTTATTTAACAATTGCTTTCAATTTTCTACTTCCTTTTCCCTGACTTTCTCCTTTTATCTGTTTTCCTTTTATTACCCCTTCTGGCAATTCTTTCTTTCTCTTAATTTCTTAAATTAAAGCCCTCATCTTACTTGGGTGTCATCTCTTCACTTTCAATCTTATAACCGTTTTAGCCTTAACACACTTCAAGTATAATAAACTTGAAGTACAATAATGGCTGAGTTTGCAAAAACGATTTTTCTACTTGTTATTGCTTTACTAGTTTCTATATCTGTATTTCCTGCTGTATTTTTAGAATTTGTCAAGATATGCATATACTTACTTAAAACCTTTATGATGAAGTTCTGGAGGAAGGGAGGTAGGAAGAAATATTTCAAAGTAAGTGATGGCCTTTTGCATGGTTACATCAAAAGGGCACATTAAAGGTCGCCATTCTTCTAGCATCTCAGCTGTGGCATCTGCTGGAAAATATCTAATAAAAAAAGAAGGTTTTCATGTATCTGATTATTGGCTAAAAGCTCTACAACAGCAATATATATAACTTACCAAAAGGCCGGGGAAGGAGGAGAATATATATCATAGGATGTAACACAGTATACAAATGTTCAAACTAACACACATTTTCACAATACTAAAATAAATTCCCCATTTGGGCGAGGTGTTCGTGCCTGTAGTTCCAGAACTTTGGGAAGCCAAGGTCGATGGATCACCTGAGCCCAGGAGTTCAAGACCGGCTTGGGCAAAATGGGAAAACTCAGTCTTTACAAAAAATTAGCCAGACATGATGGCAGCATACACCTGTAGTCCCAGCTACTCAGAAAACTGGGGTTGGGAGATCACTAGAGCCCAGGAGATGGAGGCTGCAGTGAGCCAAGACTGCACCATTGCACTCCAGCCTGGGCAAAAGTGAGACTCGTCTCAAAAAAATAAATAAATAAAATAAAATAAAATAAAATAAAATAAAATAAAATAAAATAAAATAAAATAAAATTCCCCATTATACTTGGCATAAAGTAAATTCTCCTCGTCTAAGGGAATTTTTCTAAACACTATAAAGTTGACAAAACTCAGATAAAATATGAGTCACTCAAGTAACCTACAAAAGTAAACAGGGTTTTTGTTTTACTTCCTTTGTGCTATGTAACAGCAATTGAAAAAAAATCCTGTCATAAAGAATCTAGTCTAAATAGGAAAAGGATTACCAGTAGATGAGAAAGAGAACATCAGCCCAGCAATCTCTAGGCATGTTGAATAAACCATTGACCTTCCTTGGAACACAGAGTCCTCCCCTATACAAGAGGACTAGATGATCTGGTCTACAGGCTGTGATATTCCATAACTGTAGGAAACGGGCAGGAGTGACCCTGGAGTAGATTTACAAAATTAAAATCCAAAGTGTGTGTATATACACAAAACAAAGGTAAATAAAGAGGATACATGTATAACGGCTAAATACATCTTAACAGGCATTTTTCTTTTTTCTAAAGACAGAGTCTTACTATGTTGCCTAGGCTGGACCCAAACTCTTAAACTGAAGTGATCCTCCCACCTCAGCCTCCCAAGTAGCTGGTACTACAGGAGAGCACCACCGCATCCAGCCTTAAGAGCTTTAAAATACAAACAGCATATGAAAAATTCTGATTCTTTTCAAATAAGTTGGAAAACTTTTTCAAATAGACTTATAGGCTTGGCCCACACATCATATTATTAATCCTATTGTATCTTCATATACTTGTGTTAATTAAAATAATACTGCAATCTTCTATGTGAAAAATAAGATTATATTTCTAAGAATACTTCTGTTGAGTTCACAAAGCATTTATGTGTCAGGTCCTTGGGTAACAGATTGGAATTTTAAAAAAACCAAAAACAAACTATGCTCCACCTTCAAAGATCTCACATCTCAAGGATCAATTCCCCTTAATAAGTTTTCTGAGTCAACTGTTAACACTGTAATCCAAAATGAAAACTTGGAGTTCTATGAATTACCTATGAGCCAGTAAGTATTGAAGTGATAATCTAGTTTCCAGTGAGGAAACACAGGCCAAGAGGGTAACTGCATCGCATAAAATGACACTGTTCATTGGTGCTTATGACTCAGGGTGAATCTTACGTCGCTTGAGAGACAGATATCTCATATTCCGCAAATACATTTGCCCAACATTGAGTAATACAGAAGGTCAGCAATAAATATCTGGTTTATTAAATATGTATTTAGGATGAATATTACAAGCATATAATACATGGCTTTTCATCAAAAAGGATTCACTGATTCCATACCATCTAAACAGTCTTAGAATAACTTGATAACAACAAAAAAAAGTTCAAGTACATAAAATTGAGCTTTAATTAAAATTAAAGATAATCGGCCGGGCGCGGTGGCTCACGCCTGTAATCCCAGCACTTTGGGAGGCCGAGGCAGGTGGATCACGAGGTCAGGAGATCGAGACCATCCTGGTTAACATGGTGAAACCCCGTCTCTACTAAAAATACAAAACATTAGCCGGGCGAGGTGGCGGGCGCCTGTAGTCCCAGCTACTCAGGAGACTGGGGCAGGAGAATGGTGTGAACCTGGGAGGCGGAGCTTGCAGTGACCCCAGATCGCGCCACTGCACTCCAGCCTGGGCGACAGAGCGAGACTCTGTCTCAAAAAAAAAAAAAAAAATTAAAGATAACCAAAAAAATTAAAATTAAATTTTATTCACATTTATCTTTAGTCATATGAATATAGGATAACTGGCAGGGAGTGGTGGCTCACGCTATAATCCCAGCACTTTGGGAGGCCAAGGTGGAAGGATCACTTGGGACCAGGAGTTCAAGACCAGCCTGGGCAACACAGCAACGTCCCACTCTCTACAAAAAATATTGAAATAAAAAGAAAAGAATACGGGATATTTAAATATTCTACAGAACACAGTTGACAAAAAAAGTTATGAACCACCTTATTGGCATTACTCATTTTTTATCTGAATAACAACAATACCCTAGGAAATGCTTCCAAATAAAGATGATTTTATGTAAAATACGGTATTCTTACTTTACAATGGATGACTTTAAAATTTCTAAATTTCTAAATGAAATCTGAGAAGTTCAGTTCACAAACTGGAAATGGTATGTTGTGCTCAGTGACCAACATCACAATGTCAGGAACGATTTACACTTTTCATTTCCTCTTCAAACCATACTAAAGATGTGGAAAAGCCCACAGAAACAACAAGAGGCTTTATAAATTGAGAAGCTACTTACGGTCGGCAGCTTTTCACGAGTGTTTTGAGAATATTTTCTACAGAACTGGGGGGGGAAAGCCATTTGATAATTAGATTGGTATATTTTAAGAACACATCTAATTCAATTAATAAATACCTCTGAGATAAGCTCATACATTCAGATATTATTTGTTTATATGTAATAACTAAGCCTTCCCTTTCATACAGACACACCTGCAAGGATTCACTACTTAAACTCCCTAATCTACTCTTTCCTTTGCCCTCATTTCGTTGTCTCTGGTATGAACTAAAGGGAAAAAATGTTACACTGGGAAAAGAACAAATTGTTTTCAGTCTTTACAAGGTAGGCAGCAATGACCATACACCATACTTATCAACACAGTGGCTTAACACTTCAAATAATTTTTACTAAAATACTTTTACATCAAAACACAAGCAGCAGACAGACCAAAATCTGGGTGTTTCCATCAGAAATTAGCTTTCACAACCAATTCATGAGTTCGATAACCCTCCAAGGCACTTTACGGCCAGCAACAATTATCAAAAAGAACAATAGCATCTCTTTGAGCAGATACTTATAAAGTTAGTCCAGTAACATTAAAAATTATAACTTACTTTACAACGTGTAGTTGCCTCAAGTGAATACAGGAGACCAACATAAAAATGTATGTATGAATTTATAATCAACATTTCTTTTTTAATAAAAAGGCCAACGTGTACTGGTTTAAACACATGACCAGAATGGAATATTTAAATATTTACTAGATTATAGTCAAGCAGTCAAATGCAAACAAACAATACAAACAATGGAGCACTAGGTAATTTTGAGCTGGAATTTAAAAATACATGTGTGACTACTTACAGTATGATATGTACAAGTAAAAATAAAATTCCCAAATCTCAAAAAAATGTATATATACATATATGGGAAAGGAGTAACTTTCAGGCAATGTCTCCACCTGATACTTTCTTATTAAGCTTTCTGAAATTCTTAAGTCCAGAAGTCTATCCAACTTCTCTGAAAGTTTAGGAACTAATCTGCAAAGAAATTCCAAGGAGTCACAGAAAGCAAACTCATCAAAAATAATCAATATATTATATAACCAAGAAAGGAAAACTATAATCTCATTACTTGGAGTAGTAGAAATCCTCTTTAATTTCAAAACTACTCAGAGAAAAATTAACTGAAGAGGCAACTAGGTTACAACTCACGGGATGACTTCTAAAATTAAAAAAAAAAAAAAATACATGGCCAAAGGGCCATCGATAAGCACTGTCTCTGGTCATGAGAGGGAGGTTCTTCTTTTTCTTATAAAAAGGCTAAGCAATTCAAAAACACAGTTCAGAGAACATTTAAGTTTGCCCAGCAAAAAAAAAAAAACAGGGCAAACTTCTATCCAACTATGTTTAAAGCTCCCTGAAGACCACGGCTGTGATTTTTATTTCTGGGCATTTCCAAAGTGCTTATAAAAAGGCCATCTGCTCACATATATTTATACTTTTCTGTCTATTGATTTATAATAATAAACATTTTATATCAGAGTAACAAAAAGGACAGATCTTGGGTCTTCTTTTAGTTTAGATCGAAGAATCCCATTTAGCAACAAAGTATAGAATTAACAGCTAAGGTTTAAAGAGTCATCTAGTTTTAAACTAAATTGCTCAATTTAAATGCAGATTTTTAAAAGGTAATTCTAAAATTGTAAACTGTTTATCCATGAAAATGAGCATAAGATCCACAATTCTATCAGTCCTAATGTTCGTGTTCTCATTAACATTACATTTATTTTATTGGTTCTGCGCTACACAGAAAACCTGCTGTTTTCACTTAGGACCTTTGCTATACCAACATACTTTCGCATAATGTCATAAATGATTCTAGAAAGCAAGTCATAAAAGGCTGCAAAGCTACATGTTTTCTCCAGTTCCCTTCACGCTTCAGAAGAATAGGAAGTTAATTATAACACTTGATAGAGTCATTTCACTTATTAGAGGATTAGGGTATGTGGGAATGCAATTTAGTTACTCGAAATAAAGTCAATTTCAACCCCTTCTTATACATAAGGCCTGTACCATTGGATTTATGATGTTTATCCAGAAAAGGGTACAATCTCTCTAACCTGTGATATCTGTATAGTGACCTTTTGTGATTCTTGTAATCTCTCAAGATGAAAGGAACAATGTTTCTGTTTAAAAATAAAATAAAAGGTTAAGGCTAGATGCTACTAGACTACATTTCACTAATTTTTAGAGGGAGTGAATAATCACTAAATACTTTCCAACTGTTGGAAATGTATAATATTAAAGTGATAACAATTCAAAACACTTTTTTCTTTTTTTTTAAATCAAAAGGGATCTAAAGAGTGACTAAGCTTTGGATGGGTTTTCTTATACCCTTTCCTCTTTAAAAAGATACGTTAGGTTGAAAAATATATGTTAGGTTGAAAAAGAAAGCCACAGTAGAGCATATAATGGTTTACAGTTTGGGCTTAGAGTCAGACCAATCTGAATTTGAGTATCAGTTCTGCTACTTCCTAGTTGTATTATAGCTGTTTTCTCATCAATATGAGCAATAATACCTACCTCTCATAAAGCTGTTACAAAAATAAATGAGATAATGTATAGAATGCAGGTATATGGCCCAGAATTAAGGATAATAAATGTTATCTATTATTTCATACTTAGCCATAATAAATTGTATCCTCAATTTCCTTAAAAATTAAAATTTTGTGCTTATTTTGCTCTTACATTGATTCTACTGCCTCTGAGTAGCTACTAATTTATGACTTAAGGAAATCACAACAAAATAGGAAACTCCTCCCCAACTGCCACCCTATTATTAAGGGTAGAAAGTGAGTCCTTGTCCCAGTTCTTAAGCTCTTGTTCCAGTTTCAACCAATGATTCTGTGTGAATTTTCCTCTCTGGACCTTGATTTCCTTATGATGCCATTAATAAAGTAAATGTTAAATATTAGCAGATAAGCCTGAGGAAAACCAATAGTCTTAGCCTCCAGTTACTGAGACAGTGAACTCATATAAACTTGGAGGTTTATGCCTCCTGCCTCCTTGGCCTTATCAGGACAATATTCACTTCTAAACCAGGGAAAAGTATAGCAAATGAAATACTGAAGATGAGAGTAAACTAGACTGCTCATAGCCAGAAGTACTTGCAGCTTCACTTGACAGTTCTTGAACTAAAATTTAACTTCAGAATAATATTTGCTTTTTCATAAATGAACTGGTTAACTGTAACGACGGACTATTCTGTGTATCTGACTTCCTCCCTTCATAATTTAATGGTAACTGCTTATACAGTATTTGTTTTTCTTAAACCTGTGCCAAACACTCATCTAGTTTTACTTGCCTTCTCTAAATCCAAACAAATCCACCGTAAGTTAGACATTATCCATCTCATATCTAATCTTCAAAATCTAATATTGCTCAGTTAAACTAGTAAGTAGTCATTTTTCATAGCCACTTCACTCAAAATTAGGGCCAAGATAATTTCACCATAAAGAAAGGTATAAATAGGCCAGGTGCGGTGGCTCACACCTGTGGTCAGGTGTTCAAGACCAGCCTGGCCAACATGATGAAACCCCATCTCTACTACAAATACAAAAAATTAGCTGGATTTGGTGGTGCACACCTGTAATCCCAGCTACTCAGGAGGCTGAGGCAGGAAAATCGCTTGAACCTGGGAGGCAGAGGTTGCAGTGAGCCCAGATTGTGCCACTGCACTCCAGCCTGGGCAACAAGAGCAAAAAAAACTCCATCTCAAAAAAAAAAGAAGTATAAATAATAAGTACAACATTGTCCTTACTGATGTGCATTAGCATTGACTTTTCATTAAAATTACTTTTAAAAAGTATACCTTTATGGCAAGTGTTAAGAAATTGTAGTAACTCTTACCACTCACATAAAAAGAGCATGCATAATTGTTTTAAATGACAATAAGCCTGATCAACTTGAACTTGAACTAAGTATTTTTTAAATTTGCTTTTAAAAGATCAGTTTTTAAAGAAAGAACATTGTAGCACAGAAACAACTTTTGTGAGAAACACTATCCAAAACATTAATAAAATCTGGTAAAAAAATTTTTTTTTTGAGATGGGAGTCTGGCTCTGTCGCCCAGGCTGGAGTACAGTGGGATGATCTTAGCTCAACGCAGCCTCTGCCTCCCGGGTTCCAGCGATTCTCCCGCCTCAGCCTCCTGGGTAGCTGGGATTACAGGCATGCGCCAATCACACTAGGCTAATTTTGTATTTTTAGTAGAGGATGGGGTTTCACCATGGTTGGCCAGGCTGGGTCTTGAACCCCGACGCTCAGGATCCATCTACTCAGCCTCCCACAAGTGCTAGGATTACAGGTGTGAGCCACCATACCCGGCCGAATTTTGCTAAAATTTTAAACATCCCAAATAAAGAATATTTTAAAAATAACATAGGATGGGCCGGGCGCGGTGGCTCAAGCCTGTAATCCAGCACTTTTGGGAGGCCGAGACGGCGGATCACGAGGTCAGGGAGATCGAGACCATGCCTGGCGAACACGGTGAAACCCCGTCTCTACTAAAAAATACAAAAAAACTAGCCGGGAGGGTGGCCGAGCGCTGTAGTCCCAGCTACTCGGAGGCTGAGGCAGGAGAATGGCGTGAACCCGGGAGGCGGAGCTTGCAGTGAGCGTGAGATCCGGCCACCTGCACTCCAGCCTGGCGACAGAGCGGAGACTCCGTCTCAAAAAAAAAAAAAAATAAAATAATAAATAAATAAATAGGATGGTCTTCAAATACATTAAAAAATAATTGTAAATACCATATTAATAATCATGGTTTACAACCATAAAATCTTTTAAATTTCAACAGGTTTTAGGAGAAATTCTTCTCATCATTTGATTATCATATTAAATTTTGTAGCTAGAGATCATCCATGAGCTGCTGGTAGTAATTTAAACTCCTAAGTATGGCCACATGTGCCAAGAAACCCCAAACAGAGGTCTGGAAAATGTCGTTTCCATGTGGTGAGTGTGGGGAGCTGAGGACAAAGGATTTAACTGTATCTTAAAGAGCACCAATTCAAATAGCTCTTTAGTGACTCAATAGAGAAACAAATGCCATAAACAAATACCAGAAAAAGAAAATATCAAATTTCTCCAGAGGCAGATTAATATGAAAAAAATGAAAATATAATACTATATGATACCCTTAGAACAATACATGTAAAAGAGAATAGATACTTTTTAAAATAAATTTTAAAAAGTAGTAAACAAGTTATGTAGGCCCAAGCTACTCATGATGCAAATATGAAAACCTTTATAACCACCCACAAAAACCAAATTAGTGGTAATAATACTAAATAAATGTATACACATAGCAATTGACATATGAATTGTTTGTGCCCATTTGTAAAAGCGATCTATGCATAATTCTCCCACATTTTGTGAGAAGCAACACCATTAGTGTGTTGCCTATGATATAACTTGCAATATGCTAGTCAAAGTAAGTGTATGGGATATTGTTTTATAAAATAAAACCATGTCCATAAGATTCAAAAGCTTCATTTATAAAGTAAATAATAATTCTTATATCACTAACAATTAGTTCACACTCATCTCCTTTCCAATTTTACTTCTTCTATTGCATAAAAAACACTACCAATTCTTTCTCCAGTAAAAAGTAGACTGAGATGGGGATAAAGAGACTAAAAAGGGTCTTTTGCCCTAGAGGCAAAAAGACAGACAGAAAGCTAGAAGGAGGAAGTAAGGAAGAAAAGAAAAGAGGGAAACAAGGATACAAAAAGGGATGGAGAGAGGATGGAAAAGGTAAAGAGGAAGGGAAGAGAGGGAAGTTGATAATCTTTGCTTCAAACAATAGAACTAGCTTTTAAAATCATGTTGAAATACATGCCACCACCCTAAGCAGCAATTTCAATAAGGACAAAAACATAAGGCACGTAAGTTTAAAATTTGAAAGACAGTTAACAAATTAAGCAATCTTTCACTTTTGATTATAAAAATAGCATTCTAAAAATAGTATGAACACATGTAGTCAGCCGACAAAACTGTTTCAAAATGTGGCAGAATATATCTAAGATGAAAAAACTCAAAATTGTCACAGTGTAGGTAATGAGTATAGGTAGGTTATATGATGTATAAATTTTATTTTAGAATAATTACAATTACAAAATGAAATGCTGAGTCTGTTAAGAGTTGAGAGTCAGTGCCGTGTTTCAGTCACAACGTGTCTTCAAAAGATCAAGAATAGTTATGGTAAAACTTTTAAGGACAAGGATGATGTGACACTTTAGGAAGAGACATGGTAAACATAATCAATAAGCACTGACTGACCAATATTAATAGAAAATTTCCAGACAAACAGCTCTTATCACTGAAGAGGAAAGCCATGGATATTTATTAATGACCACACAGGACTTTAAAAGCAGCATGTGCCTTTGCAAAGGTAGACCTTTAAGGCAGGAAAGTAGGACGCTTGGTTATATAGCAGCGAATAAGAGGGCATACTAAAGAACAGGGTATCACTGAAGAAACTGCCTTATCTCCTCCTTTCATTTACAAAATACTTTCAGAAGCAGCCAAAATTATCAGCAAGAAAAATCTCAGCAGGATAACTGATCTGAACACAGTTCAAAGGTCCCTGAGATCTATGAAATGGTGAGGCCTGTCTATGGTCATTAACACCCTGAATGTGCCCAATCTCATCTGAAATGGTGAAGCCAGTAAGAAATTCCCTGACCTCTCATTTAAAGAAGACTCAGTCAAACCAGTATAGATCATGGTCCCTGTGGCAAAAATAACACCCAAAAGGAATCTTTACAAACAAAGCTTTTGTATTCAATTCTGAGTTTTCTTAATAAATATTGGGGCTGGGTGTAGTGGCTCAAGCCTGTAATCCCAGCACTTTGGGAGGCCAAGGCGGGAGGATCTCCTGAGCCCAGGAGTTCAAGACTAACCTGGGCAACACAGTGAGACCCCATCTCTACAAATAAAAAGTTTTAAAAATTAGCCGGGCATGGTGGCACATGCCTGTGGTCCCAGCTTCTCAGGAGGCTGAGGCGGGAAGACTGCTTGAGCCCAGGAGGTCAAGGCTGTGGTGATGCAAGATCTTGCCACTGCACTCCAGCCTGGGCAACAGAGCAACCCTGAAAAAGGAAGGAAGGAAGGAATGGAGAGAGGAAGGGAGGGAGGGAGGGAAGAAAACATAACACATACTGGTAAAAACATACTTGCACAATGTACTACTCTATTTCATGATAAAATTTGCATTTTTATGGTTGAAATGAGTTTCCTTGTTTTAACACATGAAACTTGCAAGAAATAAATGACTTCTAACCACTTTACTTGTCCCAAACTGTCCAAAAACCAATTAGGACCTAAGTTGAAGATCATGTTTTACCTCCTCCATTTACACCATTTCACATTTGCCATCTGCACTCATTTTCAAAAAATTCTATGGTAAGGGACAAAGACTGTTGACCTAAGTAAAGGCTGAGGGCTAATCATAGATTACATGAATTTAACAAGAAATAATGAAATAATGTAGACACGCCTAAGACTGAGAGAGAAAACCGCAGAAGTCTTTAAAGACTTAATTTATAAAAAAGAAAAAGGAAATTAATACAGGCATAGAGAATGGTGCTCTTCAAGAAATAAGTACACAGGCCAGGCGCGGTGGCTCACGCCTATAAACCCAGCGCTTTGGGAGGCCGAGGCGGGCGGATCACAAGGTCAGGAGATCGACACCATCTTGGCTAACATGGTGAAACCCCGTCTCTACTAAAAATACAAAAAAATTAACCGGGCGTGGTAGCGGATGCCTGTAGTCCCAGCTGTGCGGGAGGCTGAGGCAGGAGAATGGCGTGAACGTGGGAGGCGGAGCTTGCAGTGAGCCGAGATCACGGCACTGCACTCCAGCCTGGGCGACAGAGTGAGACTCTGTCTCAAAAAATAAAAGAAAAAGAAAAAGAAATGAGTATATATGACAAATGACTCTAGACAATGAGAAAAAACAGCTAGCTATTAAAACCTGAATAGGCGGTAGGGCGCAGTGGCTCATGCCTGAAATCCCAGCACTTTGGGAGGCCGAGGTGGGCGGATCACGAGGTCAGGAGATTGAGACCATCCTGGCTAACACGGTCAAACCCCTCTCTACTAAAAATACAAAAACAATTAGCTGGGCGTGGTGGTGGGCTCCTGTAGTCTTAGCTGCTGGGGAGGCTGAGGTAGGAGAATGGCATGAACCCGGGAGGCGGAGCTTGCAGTGAGCTGAGATGACGCCATTGCACTCCAGCCTGGGCAATAGAGTGAGACTCCGTCTCAAAAAAAAACAAAACAAACAAACAAACAAAAAAAAAAAACACTGAAGAGGCCGGGCATGGTGGCTCATGCCTGTAATCCCAGGACTTTGGGAGGCCAAGAGAGGCCGATCACCTGAGGTCAGGAGTTTGAGACCAGAGTGGCCAAAATGGCGAAACCCCATCTCTACTAAAAATACAAACATTAGCTGGGAATGGTGGTGCGCGCCTGTAATCCCAGCTGCTCCTGAGGTTGAGGCACCAGAATCACTTAAACCTGGGAGGCGGAGGTTGCAGTGAGCTGAGATTGTGCCACTGCACTCCAGCCTGAGCAACAGAGGGAGACCCTGTCTCAGAAAAAAGAAGAATGATAAGCCAAACATGCTAAAACTGAGAAAATTTAAAGCTAGACTACAATTGGATAGAAATGATACCTATCAGTCAAGTATGAAATCACTATTAACCAAAAAAAGGCAGATGCTATTTTATTATATAAACTCAGAATAAAATATAAAACCAAAAATTAGGTCTCCAAGAGGCAGGCTGTAGATGGAAGAAGTCAATGATCTGCAAGAGAGATGCAGCTTCAGATACAGTTTATAGAGGGCAATGAATTGCTTCAGGAGTCAAATTACATAGAAATATGCACATTAAAATATCTGCTTGTTTCTTTCAAACAACCCAGTATTTTTCAATCATGATCACCCCCTAAAAGACCCCAAGTACTCCCAAATAAGTATTTTAAATGGAAACACTTACTTAGGAAACCAATTTAATCCTAGGTGCTCTGTCTTGGAATATAATATTCTTTCTACCATGTCATAAAGTGGTCTCCAGGGTAACTCCAAATCATCTCTTGAAAGAAGTTCCTTTTTCCTAAAAAGTAAAATAAAACAAATACCTACGTGTGCATGTGTGCACAGATGTGTGTATACCACAAATACTACACAGGGACAGTTAAATATTGCTGCTCATCACAGTGGGTTTTGCTTTTCCCCATCCACGGCCACTCACTAGCAGAACATAAGAATAATGCACCCAATTCTTGCTGCTGCTCAAACCTCAAAGAGTTCCAGATAAAAGAGGGCATTTAAATTTGTGTCACCATCACTGTAGATGAATTTCATGTTTTCCCACACTATGGAATATTTGTTTCCAGCATTGAGCTGGATGCTTCAGGGTAAGCAAAAGAATCTATAATATTTGTCTTGTTTTCTCGAGGGACTTAACAACCTATGAAAGGGGAAATTCAATGGGTGCTAGAGAAAAGACCACGTCATGGAAGAGATGCAATTTCAACTAAAAGGTTAATTAACACATTTGATGAAACTAAAGATAATATTTTTTGCAATCAATTTCCAAATTGGCAACTTGAGACTTGGTCTTCTTACCAAAAGGACTTAGTCCTCATTCCCTAAAACCCTGAAGAAACAAACCTTAACGGAAACCACTGGAAATAGACTTACTTTAACAAGTTGATCAAAAGGCGGGCAAATCCCTGCATCATGCTGATTTCCAGTTTTGGAATTGATACCAGCTCATACAATAACTTAATAAAAAGAACATGATCTTCTTTGCTAAATTTTCTCCCATAAAGTCGAATATATCTGCAAGAGAAAAACAGATATACCCTTTAAAAATAGGTATAATGATACACCCATGTTCAATGCAGCATTATCCATAGAAGTCAAGATGTAGATGCAACCTGAATGGCCACAGAAGGATGAATGGATAAGGAAAATGTGGCATATGCAATACAATGGATTGTCTTTTTTTTTTTTTTTTTTTTTTAACATTTCATGGAAAACTTTTTATTGGTTTTCTGGATAGAAACGGGAATTTATTTGCCAGGAAGAATGATCCCATCATACTTCAGCTAGAACCAGTGGATGAGGATGATTCAGTCTTAAAAAAGAAGGAAATCCAGGCATAAGCTACAACATGGATGAACCATAAGTGAAATAAGCCAGTCACAAAAGACAAATACCGTGTAGGTATCTAAAGTAATCAAACTCATAGAAACAGAAAGTAGAATAGTTGCTGCCAGGGGTTGGGAGGAGGGGGAAATGGAGAGCTGTTATTCAATGGGTATAGTTTCAGTCACGTAAAATAAAAAATTGTACAACAATGTATATATGGTTAACAACACTGCATTGTACACTTAATTAAGATAAACTTGATATTTATTTTTAATGACAATTTTTTAAAACAGGTGTGGTAACAATTTCAAATGTCTTTGATGGTTAAGTATTTTATATCTATTCTCACTGTTATGCAGTAAAGAATTATTCTGTACTTTAATCAAGAGATTACCAGGCCAGGCAAAGCAGCTCATGCCTGTAATCCCAGCACTTTGAGAGGCTAAAGTGGAAGGATCGCTTGAACCCTGGAGTTCAAGACCAACCTGGGCAACATGGCAAAACCCAATCTCCACAACAAATACAAAATATTAGCCAGGCATGATGGCGTGCGCCTGTGGTCCCAGTTACTCGGGTTGGGGGAGGGCTGAGGTGGGAGGATCACTGGAGCCCAGGAAGTCAAGCGGGCAGTGAGCTGTGATGGCGCAACTGTGCTCCATCTAGCCTAGGCGACAGAGTGAGACCTTGTCTTCAAAAAAAAAAAAAAAGGAAGAGATTACCAAATAAGTATCTTAATAACCAATGGTAACTGAGTTATCATCAACATCTAATGACCAATTAAAACACTGCTCTCTTATTGTAAACAAGTTACATAACTTGTACTATTTGTTTCTAACAGTTAACTTATAATTACAATACAATGAGGTTACTACCAAAAATAAATATTTTATCCAAAATTACATTTTAAATGTCTAACTATAAACAATGTAATCAAAAGCATTAACTTTAAGTAAATTTAAGAAAAAGGTGTCCCAATGGCCGGGCACGGTGGCTCATGCCTGTAATTCCAGCACTCTGGGAGGCCGAGGCAGGCAGATCACCTGAGGTCAGGAGTTCGAGACCAGCCTGACCAACATGGAGAAACCCCGTCTCTACTAAAAATACAAAATTAGCCTGGCATGGTGGCACATGCCTATAATCCCAGCTACTAGGGAAGCTGAGGCAGGAGAATCGCTTGAACCTGGAAGGTAGAGGTTGCGGTGAGCTGAGATCACACCATTGCACTCTAGCCTGGGCAACAAGAGCGAAACTCCATCTCAAAAAAAAAAAAGGGAAGAAAAAAGTGTCCCAAAACCCAAGAACAACAAATCAGAGTATATTTAATAATTCAGAAGTAAATGATCCAAACAAATTACTGTATACTTAAAATCATAAAACCCTTTGAGGAGGGTCATTTTATTATTAAATACATAAATCAACAGAAAAAGGAGCATTAGTATTCCCCATAAGATCTTTAACACTCCCCCAGTACCTAAGAGCAAATTAAACTTACATTTAACTTCTTTTTTTTCCCCCCCGCAAGACAGAGTCTTGCTCTGTCACCCAGGCTGGAGTGCAGTGGCCCAATCTCAGCTCACTGCAACCTCTGCCTCCTGGGTTCAAGCAATTCTCCTGCCTCAGCCTCCCCAGTAGCTGGGATTACAGGCACCCAACACCACACTCGGTTAATTTTGCTATTTTTAGTAGAGACGGGGTTTCACCATGTTGGCCAGGCTGGTCTCAAACTCCTGACCTTGTGATCTCCCCATCTCGGCCTCCCAAAGTGCTGGGATTACAGGCGTGAGCCACTGCGCCCGACACTTACATTTAATTTCTAAAGTTAGGGCATCTAACTGCTTTTTTATTTTCCAGAAATTCTTCAAAATTCTTGGTTCAGTAACTCGTTTTTATTTTTTCAAGCTGGTCTGAATTTATCCAACTCTTTTCTGTCGTTTCAAGGTATAATCCCATGATCTCACATTAGTACTATGAGACCAGCAAGTATACAGGGAGGAGCAATGAGACCCGAAATCTTGTTTTGACTCTGCCAGTACAGGTTGCAGACCCTTAATCCGAAAATCCAAAACCCTCCAAAATCCAAAACTTTCTGAGCAACAACATGATACTCAAAGGAAATGCTCATGGAGTTTTCCAATTTCTGATTTTTTGATTTGAGATGCTCAATCGGTAAGAACATAATGCAGATATTACAAAACCTCAAAATATCCAAAATCCTAAACATTTCTGGTCCCAGAATTTCAAATAAGGGATATTCAACATAATTATCGTAAAAGTCTCTTAAACACCCTAAAATGGCAACGCACATAGATTAATGAAGACAAAAGATCCTACACCCGAAGATATTATTATTTTGGGCTGTTGAACAAGCATAATGATACAGCCTTCTGACGCCTCCCCCAATTTCACTCTAAATTTAGGAGCAAAAGCTGGAATCATTAAAATGTTATTTTAAATGAAAACAATCTCCCTAAAAACTGGCACACACTTTTAAGATATCTTAAGATAGAAGACGTCAAAGAAAAATTCCCTGCTTTCAGTGGCTGCTTCAGGCCTTGTCAAGATTCCAGATGCCAGCCAGGCACGGTGGCTCATGCCTGTAATCCCAGCACTTTGGGAGGCCAAGGTGGGCAGATCACTTGAGGTTAGGAGTTCGAGATTGGCCTGGCCACTATGGTGAAACTGTGTCTCCACTACACGTCTGTAACCCCAGCACTTTGGGAGGCCGAGGCAGGCAGATCATGAGGTCAAGAGATGGAGGCCATCCTAGTCAACATGATGAAACTCTCGTCTCTACTAGAAATACAAAAATTAGTTGGGCATGGTGGTGCCCACCTGTAGTTCCAGCTACTTGGGAGACTGAGGCAGGAGAACTGTTTGAACCCAGGAGGTGGAGGTTGCAGTTGAGCCAAGATGATGCTAGAGTACTCCAGCCTGGGCAACAGAGCAAGACTCGGTCTCAAACAAACAAACCAACAAACAAACAGATTCCAGATGCCCCTGGAGTCATGCACTCATTCTCCCCTGTGGTTAGGATACTTCTGCAGAAAAACTGGAGAAACACTGTACTCTAAGCCAGCAGTCCCCAACCTTTTTGGTACCAGGGAGAATCTCACAAAGAGTGCACAAGCTTGCATGGGCAGTTCACAATAGGGTTTGAGCTCCTATGAGAAGCTAACACCAAGGCACATCTGACAGGAGGCAGACCTCAGACGGTAATGCCCAATCGCCTGCCCACTGCTCACCTCCTGCTGTGCAGCCCAGTTCCCAACAGACCACGGACCCATACCAGTCCCTGGGCTGGGGGTTGGGGGGCCCCGGCTCCAAGCCAGAGTAACACTGAAGTAACTTAGCTACAGCCCATTGTTTTCACTGCAGTAGACAGACAACTCTATGTTTAACATTAGTTGGGGACATAAAATTAACAAAGCTCAAATTTTAATACTATAAAAAGAGACCAACTGGGGGATTCCTGGAAAGTCTAGGGCTGCTGGGAAAGATTTTGGAGGGACTCCTCAGAAAGCTTCTATTTCCCCCAGTTCCTCGCCAACCAGCAAGTGGTTCTTATCTCAGCATTTATCAAAATGTGGTGCAAGAGATTTGTTTTAAAAGGGCACAAAAGTTCTAACCATAAAAAGAAAATTAATAAATTGGTCTTTATATTCTAGTCACAATAAGACACCATTAAAAGTAAAAAGCCCAGATATCTGAAATACATATATTTGACAAAGAAGTATCTCCAAATTACGTAAAGAACTAGTACAAACTAATAAGAAAAAGCCATAATCCAATTAAAAATGAGAAAAAAGGCTGGGCGTAGTACACCTATAATTCCAGCACTGTGGGAGGCCAAGGCGGGAGGATCAATTGAGCTCAGGAGTTCAAGACCAACCTGAGCAACATGCTGAAACCCCATGGCTATTTTAAAAAAAAAAAGAAGAAGAACAATGCAGGGTTAACTTTTAAAATGCATTATTTTGGGGATCGAAAAATCCTAGGAATATTAAATCTCAGTAAAGCTGTCTTTTTTTTTTTTTTTTTAAGGTGACTGAAAAATAAATTCCTGGAGTACTAAAGACTACCAACCTTCATTTTTTAGACTACTCTGGTTTGACTTTCCTGTACACTTAAGTTCAAAAACCCTACTTTAGACTGTACCTACAGATGGTCCATTCCCTCCTTCCAGTTAATTTTCACACTAGTTTTAGGACTAACGATTACTATTAGGTGCTCCAAAATATCTGAAAACCCTGGTAAATAGTCATGATTGAACATGATTGATACAGAATATTTCTTTCAACCATCCAGAATATATGGATGACAAGTCATTTTGTTCCATCCTTCCACAGGGGAAGAAAAAAAAAGAGTAAAAGATAATACAATAGCATTTCCAGCTGCTTCCTCCTCATGGCCCTACAATGCATTAATCAAATGATTTAATTTTTAATCATAAGACAGTGGGCCAGGTGCCATGGCTCACACCTGAAATCCCAGCATTTTGGAAGGCAGAAGCAGGAGAATCACTTGAACGCAGGAGTTCAAGACCAGCCTGGGCAACATAGTAAGACCGCCATCTCTACTATACATATTAAAAAATGTAATAATAACAAATTAATAAAAATCCTACATCTAGCAATATTATCTTGAATAAATAATTCAGGCCAGATGCAGTGGCTCACACCCGTAATCCC